GGCTTGACCTGGGTAAGAAACCTGCTTCCATCAGGACCCCGCATCCCTTGACAACTCTTGTGGCACCAGATAAAGCTTCATCAAGCCTCTGGTATTTAAATGGGTTCAAGTAGAAAGAAACTCAGTTTCTCTCTCCTAAAAAAAAAAAGTTTACACCCATGGGTATAATCTATAGTCTTGTGTGTGCCAGTGCCTCAAAGCTGATTCTTTATCTCAAATGCTTGCGTTGGCAATGTTACAACCCTAACTCAGCCAATTGGGGGACCTTGTAGGGAGGGAGATGGCAGGTTTCTGCAGCTGCTGGGAACTACAACATCAAATGGGATGAAAGTACCAGGCCTGTGGGGTTCACTAAAGATCACTCGCTCCTTTCCCACCGCTTATATGAATTATCTCATCCCCATGAGATCGGTTACAGATGAAAATATTGTTACTGACTTTTGGCATGATGTGCCTGACTCTACAAATGGACTTTGGGCTTTTACTTATCATAGTGTTCTGTAAATGCATGCTCAGAATTGAAGTTGCCATCAAATTTTTCCTTCTAATTATGAATTATATTATTAATAATCTTTTCATCACACGGACTGGTGTGCTTCTTCTATGTAGACTTAGCTGATACTTCACTTAGATGGCTGCTTGCTAAGAGAAGCCTTTTAAGACACCAGATGCCATTCTTGTTGATAGCCAGTCACCATCTGATTTCTTCACCACTCCTGCTTCAGTAACTTCAATGATCTTTTTATGAGGGTTCATATTGAGCAGGGCCACACTACAAGAACTAATTTCCTCAGATTAACTTTGAGCTCAAAAATCCACTCACATGTCCACTTTATATATATATAGATATAGATTGCCACTTCAGAGGCAGCATTTCTAGCTTTAGAAATAATATTAATAGCCTTCATGGGACATTTGGTATTTTTAAGAAAAATGTCATGAATCTAGCCAATGACAGAATTTAAAATACTAGAAAAGCCTTTTAGGCCAAAATACATGGAATGCTCACATGTACAGATTCCAATCTAAAGTGACAGGTCACAGCTTAAGAAAAAAACAGGACAGTGAAATACAAGGCATTACGGCAAAACTGTTGTTTGCAGAAGTAAGGCATATTACGGAAAGCCAAGGAAACATGAAAATAGCAAATAGACGGTAGTCTCAAGTTAGCCATTATTGAGAACTTCAAAGCAATAGAGATTTGAATTAAAGTCCAATGACTTCAACGTCCATGACCTTGGGATAGCAGCTCTCTTCTCACCCTAGGGTGTTTCAGCTTAAAGTCCAAAGTTCATTTCCTTTCCTTGACAACAGGTGTGGTTAGAGAAGAGTCTGGTCAATTAGTGGGGTTTCCAATTTGGGTCTTTTTGAAAGGATTCATGAAGAAATTTGTATGCCTTGAAAAGAAATTCCTTGGCTCAACTTTTTCTGGCCTTTTTCTCACCAGTGCAGCTTGAAAGTTTCCTTAAAGCATCTTCCCAGTAAGCCCCCTGTGAATGGCTTGGGTCTTTCGAGAAAATTTGTCAAGATGACCTCTTTAGAATCCTTCAAAAATGTCACCATCAGGGCCCGAGTTGATCTCTCTGCTTAGGATTTAACTGACCCAGCCGACCCTCTCCAAAGCCGTGGTTTTGATCGGACTGTTGTTGTTTTTAAATAACAAACGGAGCGCAGCCGAGTGGATTTGAATTTATAGCCACCCTACAGGATGGAGTAGAACTTCCTCTACGGTTTTCAGAAGTGACGTATTTATGGGAGCAGCTTGTCACAGCTTCCTCCTGCCGAGAGCCTGAGAAATTCAAACGGATGACCTTCCAGCTGGCAGTGAAGTGCTTTAACCACTGTGCCAGCATGACAACTCCCTGGCCTGTTGTTTTAAAGGTCCCCTAAAGAGACCAAGACCCTCTCCGGGCTGTAAATCTTAATGGGTGCAGATAGCCTCATCTTTCTCCTTTGGGAGCGGCTGGTGGGTTTTTGACCCACTGAGCTTGCAGTTAGCAGTCTAACGCTTACTTAACAGTGCCCCCAGGAGGACTCCTTGTAGTACATACATATCTATGTACATCTGTAAAACTACGGTATATGTATACAGTCCCTAAAACCAAATTCTTAATGTTCCTTGAAACCAGCTCCTCTTCCTGAATTATTGATGCCAGTTAATGGCACCATCACCCCTCAGGTCATTTATACTTTATGGCTGTGATAGATTGCGCCTCTTCCAAATTTATTGTATTAGATAATTTATTACACCCTCAATAGTTCTTTAATGGCCCTTTTGTCAGTCCTGGTCTTTCTTAACATGACTGCATTTTACTGCTCACGGGACAACTGGTGGTGTTTTCTCCCTACAGTAATTTCTTTGGCCTGATACCTGTACATCTCTTCTCGGAATACATCTTAAATGCACAAAATAAAACACATCTAGTACAAAGGAAACCAGTTGTTTAAAAAAATTAATTTATGACAGAAATAGATGTGCTTTACCAACAAGATGAGATAAAATAATATCTAAAAGTATATCTAACAATAAGGGTGGTAATTTGGATACCTTTATTTTGAGGTATATGGACCAACTGCAATGTGATGTCATTGTGCATGACAGGTGGCTGCGGAGTGGAGACCCAAAGCCCATTTGTAGGCCACTGGACATCCCCTTACAGAAGGGAGGAGAGGAGCCAGTCAGGGTGTGATGTAGCAACGATGAAACATACAACTTTCATCTAGTTCCTAAATGCTTCCTCCGCTCCCCACTATCATGATCCGAATTCTGTCTTACAAATCTGGCTAGACCAGAGGATGTACACTGGTACAGATAGGAACCGGAAACAAAGGGAATCCAGGGCGGATGATCCCTTCAGGACCAGTGGTGTGAGTGGCGATACTGGGAGGGTGGAGGGAGGGTGGGTTGGAAAGGGGGAACCGATTGCAGGGATCTACATGTGACCTCCTCCCTGGGGACGGACAACAGAAGAGTGGGTGAAGGGAGACGTCGGGCAGGGCAAGATATGACAAAATAATAATTTATAAATTATCAAGGGTTCATGAGGGAGGGGGGAGCGTGGAGGGAGGGGAAAAATGTGGAGCTGATGGCTTAAGTGGCGAGCAAATGTTTTGAGAATGATGAGGGCAACAAATGCACAAACGTGCTTTACACAATTGATGTGTGTATGGATTGTGATAAGAGTTGTATGAGCCCCTAATAAAACGATTAAAAAAAATTGTATGAGACCCTAATAAAATGATTAAAAAAAAAAAAAGAAAACCTCCCTCATTTCTATTGACAAAGCCACAGGAATTGCTGATACTACCGTGGTTCCGAGTTAACTCAGGCTTGAAGGACGTGCGCTAAGTTTCGCTTAGAGATCACGGAATGAAGGATCCCAGGCGCAGAGCGCCAGGGAGGAAGGCTGGCGTACCACTGAGAGGAGCGCTCTGGCATCCTAGAGAGGACGTGTGCTAGGCTCTCGCGGCGGCGCCCGCGTGGTGACGCACTTCCGGTCACGCTTCAGTTTTCGCTTTTCCTAAGGTGAGTGTGGCGTCCGTCGATCGCGAGTCTTTGCTGGGAGCGCGCCCTTCTCCCCGCAAGAAGACTGTCGACTTCCTTCCGGGTGCCCTGGCGAGTCCGGGCACCAGGGAGAACCTCGCCCGGCGAGCCAGCCCCGCGGACCCACGTGCCTCCCTCCCGGCCCGCGGGGCCGCTGGGGAAAGAAAGCCAAGGCCGTGACCATGAGCTCGTAGGTGGATGGAGAAGCCCTTGGCACCCAGCAGGGCCCCACAGCCCCTCCCGGAGGAGGGTGAGCAACGCTGCTGGAGGGGCTGTGGGCTAGATGCGGCCCTAGGGTGCACTTGGAATGAGATGTGACGAGGGCGAGCCACGCATTAATTAAAGTAGGCAACTTCCTCCACCCTTTGTAACCCGACAGCAGTCGCCGATTGCTTTCAGGGCGAGACCAAGTCTTTAGCGTGCCCAAGGCCCCGCGATATTCCTCTCCCAACGTATTTAGCCTCGCAACAGCCTTTTTGGCAATTCATTTATTATTATTATTTTTATTTATTATTTTTTAATGGGTTTTAGGTGAAAGATTACACAGCAAATTTTATACTCGCTCATCAATGCATATGCAGATGATTCTGTGCGTTTGCTTAGAGTCCCCACCAAGCGTCAGCATGTTTGCCATTTCCACCCCACCTGCCACATTTCAGTCCATCTGCACGTCCACCTGTCCATCCATCTGTCTTTCCATCTGCACGTCCGTCCATCCAGTTAACCTTTCTTGCCTCCTCATCGTTGGTGTCCTGTTGAATAAAGGAACACGTTCTTCATGCACGTTCTTGTTTGTCGTTTATTTTATAGGCCAATCACTTATTTGGTTTCAGGCTCTCTGAAGAAAGGGTGGTCCATTTTGTGTGTGTCTACTCTGTCTACATTGTCTCCTACGTGTCCTAGCATGAAACATGTACCTATGTAATGTCGATGACTGAAAGCACAAATGAGTGTATAATCTAAAACTGGGCCAAGTGGAATACAGGAAAAGGAATACAGTGTTGGCGATGAATGTTACAAAGGGCTGAGAGCTGAAGGATGAGTTGGCATTAGCTGGGGGAAGATAGGTCAAGTCAGCAGAGAGTATTACAGGCAGACGGAACAGTCAGTCTCAAAGATTTTAAGATTGCAGGCAACAGGTTCATCATTGGATTAGTAGCGAACCAGCAAGAAGACCGGGGTAGCTGCACTAAGAAAAGAGAGTGGTGACGTGGGAAAGTGCATAATCCAGGTAGTCTGATTAGGGAGGATACTGAGTTTGGTAGAAAGTGACTTTCACACGTCTACAAAATCTGCTCCGTGTAATTTGGTCAAAGTAATAACTCACTTTAATCATGCTGAGGCCTCTAAGGGGCTTTTGCTAATCCATTTCTGGGTATGATTGGGTCCTAGAATGGGTGATAGAAAAAAAAAAAAAAGATTCATGTCCAAGAAAGATTAATCTATTTCATTGTAGTTCTCTTTGATGATCCTCCGCCAAGCGTGCTGTGCGTCCTGAGAATGTGTCCAAAGTAAGTGAGATGGAAGCCTCGCTGTCCTTTCTTGAGAGGGGTATCCTGGCCGCACGTCCAAGATGGGTTTGCTCATTTTTCTGACAGACCATTTCAATATTTGCCAACACCATAATTCAAAGGCAGCAATTATTCTTTTGTTTTTCCTCATTCCTTGCCCCCCTTCTGCAGACATAGTAGGTGATTGGGAATCACCCTGGCTTAGGTCACCGGCACCTTAGCCATCAAAGTGACATCTTGCTTTTTGACCCTTCACAGGGAACTTTTGGAGCAGAGTTGCCCAGGGCAACAGACCATTTGATTTTACGACTGCTACTTCCTTGGGCAGTTGACTGTGGCTCCAACTTCAATCTTTTCTCCATTTTTAATGATGTTGCTTATGGCTTCAGTTAGTTTTCTTTTCTCTGTGCTGAGGTAGGTGTGCTCTGTACTGAAAGCTGTAGTCTCTGATCTGCAGCAAGTGCTTCCAGTTCTCTCTGTTGCAGCAGGCAAAGTTGTGGCATCTGCATATCACAGGGGTTAATGAGTTTTCCTATCATGATGCTGAATTTGTACTGCCCAGCTTCTCAGATTACTTGTCCAGCATCTTAATTGAACAACATGGTGAAAGGATACGGCACGAACGCACACCTTTTCTGACTTTAAAAATTGAAGTCTCCCCTCAGTCTGTCTCAGTCTATGTACAGGTTCTACATGAGCACAGGAAGCATTCCAGAATGCCCATGTTTCACAGTATTTGTCCACAATTTGTTATAATCCACCCATTTGAATGCCTTTGTGTAGTCAAAGGCACATGTAAACATTTTTCTCAAATTTGCTACTTTCAGTCAAGATCCATCTGATATCACCAGATATTTCTTGTTACATGTCCACCTCTGAATCTGGCTTGAATTTTTGGCATTTTCCTGCCAATGTACAGCTGCGACCATTTTTAAAATTATGTCCAGCCTAATTTTTCTTGTGTCCATCGTAATGATATTGCGTGATCATTTCTGCATTCTATTGGATCACCTTTCTTTGGGATGGGCATGAATATGGATTTCTTCTAGTTGGTTGGGCAGATGGCTATCTTCCAAATTTCTCGGAAGGACTCCTTAGATTCGCTTAAAAAGCCAAAAAGGAAATTAACCCATTGCCATCAAGTTGATTTCCATGCCTAGCCACCCTCTAAAGCAGGGTAGAACTATCCCATAGGATTTCCAAAAGTGTAAATTGTACGGAAGCAGACTGCCACATCTTTATCCTAGAACACTCCTGGTAACCTTGAATCACCTGTTTTTCATTTGACAGCCAAGTGCTTTGCCTCTGTGCCACCAGGGCTCCTTACAATCACTTTCCTAAGTTCTAGAAGCAGCTTACTGGGATTATGATTAAAAGCAATATAGTAGAGTTACTAAAAGCCCGGTTTGGGGAATCTGGTTAATCTGGTCTGAGAGGCAAGCTCATTTATCCACCAGTTGAGCGAAACAGTTATTCTCTTAACCTGTTTCCCCATTTGGGAAAAGGGAAAAATGCAGAGGGTTATGAGAATGAAATGAGAAGATACACATTTTTCATCCAAAATATGAGAATTATTTTCTTAGCCTCTTATTTTTCTTAGTAAAACTTTCTTTTGAACAATAAAAGTCTGGATTTCCTCCTGCATTTTGTGAAAGTTGTGCCGTGTCTTTTGCATGTTTTGCTTTGTCTACTCCGCTGCCCCTCCCACCCCATCATATTCTTTTCCTAGGAAAGATATGTTACTGGATGTTTGTGAGTACAGGCTCTGGCAGCCTGGGCAAGTTACCTATCCTTTCAGTATCTCTGTGACCTCAGGATCACACACCTCATGGAATGGTTTGGATTAAAAGTGGAAATGCTTAGACCATGTTCTCCCAGTGGACATTTAGTGAACGCCTGCTGCCGCAGCAGCTGCTGCCGCTGTGGGCAGGTTTGCAGGTTGAAAGGAAAGCTTTTATCTGGACGAGACTCACTCTGGGTTCTCTTTGCTTCTTCCCCCAGCCTCTGCCCTTTCCTGAGAGGGAGCCCAGATGAGGGCAGTCCTGCCCCTGAAAGCCTGGCACCAGGTGAGCTGTGGATCCCTCAGGTCTGAATTGAAGATGAGGGATGACTGGGGTGATTCTAGGCAGTCTTCGAGCCAACTCAGTAGCAAGGCCCCTGTGCATCCTCTCCACTGCCGGCATGCTGGAGAAAGAGAGTTGAATGGGAGGGGCTGAGCAGCCAGAGCCCCCAGGGCCCATGGAATGGTGGGTGGAGACAGCTGGAACGAATGTGCTGGGAAGCTCTGGTGCAGCTGCCTTCACTCAGGATCTCTGTGGAGCCCGGGGCCTTAGGTCCAGGAGCTTCTCCAGCAGAGGGATATGTGTGACTGAGGACCTCAGGGTGGTGATGTGGGGTATCCAGGTTTTGGTGACCTTTCACAAGGTTCTAGGGGATTGAGGAAGTGGGAGCAGAGGGACAACTGGCAAAAGAGAAGAAAAAGTTGGAGTATCCCTATTGGCTAAGGAGCACTGCAATGGGATGTCAAATCTGCACCAGGAAGCAGGACAGCTGAAGTTCAGGATCCCTTCAGGTAGCCTTGGGGCATTGGGCCCATCTCTGCACCTTAACTAACTTCATTGATAAAGTGAACATAATCATCTCACATTTTTGGGACCAAACCCACTGCCCAACAGTTGGTTCCAACTCAGAGACCCTGTATAGGATTTTCAAAACAGTAAATCTTTACAGGAGCAGACAGCTTCATCTTTCTCTTGTGGAGCAGCTGGTGGATTTGAACTGCCGACCTTGTGGTTAACAGCTCAATACTTAACCCACAGTGCCACCAGAATGGGCAAATTAATTTCTTGAGATGTATTTTATGTTATGAGATTGATGAGCTGCCCAGTGTTGCTTTACCATGTCCTTCTTCCAGGGAATTTTGATTCAGTACCTTGGGATCCATGAATCACATCCAAGTCCCAATTCCCCACATCTGTTTTCTCCTGACTCAGCCCATCTCCCCAGTAGATTGTCTTCCTTGTGGCTCCCGACCAGGTTACTGCTACCAGCAGATGGCAGTCTTGATCCCTCGTATCTTACATTGCTGAGTCCCTGTTGAATGTTCTTTATTGTTTTGTTTTTTTTTAATCATTTTATTAGGGGCTCATACAACTCTTATCACAATACATACATACATCAATTGGGTAAAGCACATTTGTACATTCATTGCCCATGTTCTTTATTGTTAACTTGCCCAGAGAATCATCACGGTGCATAGTGACTGCCCACTCGCTCCTCCCCTTGACCTATCTTAATTATCACCCCCATTCATGGTTGTCTTTCCTTCCTGGGATTTTGATGCTATTAACTAAGATGGGGGGCGGAGTTAGCACTATGCAAATCTGTTTATATGGATTAGGGGAGCTAGTGTGGGGGAGCTAAGGTGGTGCTGGGGTTCATGCAATCCATAAGAATGAAATGAGTTGAGAGATGGGAGGCTATTCACTGCACGCTAGGAGGAGGGACCATGAATAGAGGCTCCAAAGCACATACTGGAGCATTATGAGTAGTAGTGTTACAACCAGCAGCGAGGGGAAGGGTTGGCTATTAAGAAAAATATTATGTAACATGATATAACCAGTGTCTTGAATTATACAATGAAAATTAAATTAATTGACGAATGCTTGCTATGGAATCTTTACACACACACACCACACCTCACCCACACACCACATCCTCCCCCTCCACACCCCCACACCCCAGCAGCAATTTGATTTAGGGAGTCCTATACCTTGGAAGACTCATCAGAGAGCCCCGTGGACTGCCCCGGTGGCACTGAGCGCCCTCTGCTGGTGTTCTTCAGCAGAGGCAGCGTATACCTCCGGATTCAAACATTAGTTTGGGTTTGGTGGAGCCGACTCACCTGGGTTAACCCTGCTTTTAACTGTGTTGGGATAGGCGGGCACGAGGTGGAGACAAGTAGGTCCTGAGATGCCATCTGTGAGTGGCTGTCTGGGCAGATCGACGCTAACTGTTCACCTGTGGGTGAGACAATGAAAGACTGAAAATGCATTTAGAAAACCAGGGAATGTGCTCTAGGCAGGTGAGTTCATGAGAGGCTTCCCAGGATTTTCATAATGTCATCCTCTATAACAGTAAATCTTGTTGTGTCCGAATGGGAGCTCTTAAGGGATCGAGAGAAAAGTTCCAGATTTGGGGTTATAGAAATACTCTTTTTGTGGCCCACTTCCCTTTCGCTTTCCACGTTACCCATCCCTTGTTAGACCTCTCCTTCAGGCCCCGTGCTCTGGCCTTGAACCAGAGGATTGGCCCTGGGGCAGCAGGAACCTCTTGTTTTAGGAGGTGGTGGCCTTTGAGGACGTGGCTGTGTACTTCACGCAGACGGAATGGGCCAGCCTTTCTCCCACACAGAGGGCTCTCTACAGAAATGTGATGCTGGAGAATTATGGGAACTTGACCTCCCTGGGTAAGATGCTTTCTTTCTGGGACTTGGGTCTACACCTTCTGCTTCCCTTCCTCCCTTCCTTCCTTCCTTCCTTCCTTCCTTCCTTCCTTCCTTCCTTCCTTCCTTCCTTCCTTCCTCCTTACAGACTGGTGGGTGATGGGGAGGGGACGGGGTTGTCTCTAACTCTGTTATCCTCCACTGAGTGGTGGCTCCAGGGCTGAGGCTAAATGCCCGGCCTCAGAGGTTGCTGGGTAGGAAGAGATCTAGGGTCAGGTTGATCCCAGTGTGTAGGGAATTGCTGTTCTCTGGTAAGAGCATGTCCGTCTTCTGAGGAGCTCTGGGCAATTTCGCTGCCAAAGCCAAGGTCTCCGTCAGTGGTTGCCCACCTTTTGTGTAGGTAAGGGTGTGGTCTGGCGATGGTCACGAACTTGCCCACTCTTATGTGGGTGGTAAGGAGGAGATCACAGCTGCTTTTTCCCTTTGATCTCCGTCACCCGTCTGGAGCCCTTTTATCCAGGTCTTGTTCTTCCTGAGATTGTGGGTTTCCTTCTTCTGACACGGAGAACACAAGGCTGAAAGATTCCATTTCCCCTTCCAGGATACTCAGTTCCCAAACCGTCTCTGATCTCCCTCCTGGAGGGAGGGGCTTTGCCTTGGGACAAGAAGGCACAGGATGACCCACCTTTAGAGAAGACCAAAGCCGGCTGCAAAGGTAAGCACGGCAGGTGTAGATCCGGCAACCACAGAGTTTTACAGCGCAGTGCAGTTGAAAAGGATTGATGTGGGGCAGAATTTAAACGGAATACATGATTTCTGTTAATAAGTAAAATTTGAGACCTTTCCCACAATTGTTAATTCCTCTCACACTACCACTGAATACATTTATATATAATTCGTTGCGATCTGTTGCTTTTTCTGAGTTTCAATATTATTGCAGTGTTCCTCATTCCTTGGACTGGATGGATTTATCCAGGAGCAGGTTTTGAATGTGGATTGTGCCAAGCTTTGTTTAAGAAGCGCTGGAGAGAAATCCGTACACCAGGTTTCATCACAGCACTTTCCACAAACGCTAAGAGGGGAAATTAACTAAAATACCCATCAACAGAGAAATGGATAAATACGTGTTATATACACACTCAGCTGTAGAGATAAAGGAAATCTTGATGTTTTGG